CACGAATTATGTAAAGAGTGAATAAATCAGTTTAGAAAATAATGATAAAATTTCTCTCTCTCTCTCTTTCAGTACCAGGGATGGAACTCAGGACCTTGCACTTTCAAGGCAGGCAGCAGAACTACTGAACTAAATCCCTGGCCCATTTCATTCTCTAAGGCGACAGATTCAAACCTCTCAGTGACAACCTGAGTGAGGGGTGTGGATTGCTAACATGGTGTTTTATAAGCTACTTTTCTTTATTGTCCTTCCCTGAGGACATTTTAAGATATTTTCTCCCTAATTGCTACCACCTTCTGTGGACTTTGAGTAACAATGGTATATGTGCTTAGGCCCTGTGGTGCTTTGGAGGACCAAAAACTATTGTAATACCTAATATTTTTCATCTTACAAGAACCAATTTTTTTTCCTCCTTGGAGTTAATTGTGGCTGTTGAGAGTTCATGCTGTAGGGGACTCCCCTGAAGGTTGGGCGCAAGGTGTTACTTCAAACAGAGCAACAAATAGCTGAACAAGTAAGAGTGGGACTGGGTACAAAAGAGAGGTCTCCGCTTGCCCTCCTCTGAAGACAAACCCAGGCCCAGGCGTAGAGTGGGAGGTGTGCTCCTGTCCTCTCTTCCACCCTGCTCTCTGCCTTCAGGGCTGCTGGTTGTGGAACCCACATCAAGCTCCTTGGCCCTCTGCTTTCAAGGTGAGTTTGAGCTGGACAGGAGATTGGGAGGAGAGAGGAAGAAGAATACAATGAAAGTATGTGTCTCTTTGTGAAAGCCACCCTGTCTGTGTGCCTTGGTTATTTCTCCTCTTTAGATGCCCCTCTAAATGATTCATCCAGGGCTTTCTTTTCAGGTTCTGGCAACAGCTTCCACTCCCTTGCCTTGGGTGGAGATGGCAGTGACTCAGTCTCTACGGTCTCCAGCTTGCAGCACTATTCCCTGTCATCCCCAGTGCCTGCAAACTTGCCAATGTATCTTATGTTCATTGCACTGTTTCCTATTGGACTGGGGTGTCGGAAGAGGGAGGTCCTGTCACTGCTCCTCAGAGAGACATTCTGGGGCAGGAATGAAGCCAGAGATTAGGCGAGCAGATGTCAGATGCTGGGTTGGGTGAGGCAAGAGGCAAAAGCAACCACAGTCTGGAAGACAGGAGGCTAGAAGGGCCTTGCTTGGAATAGGGTGGGAGAATGAACTTCCCCACACAAAGGCTAGGGAGCCTCTAGTGCTTCCAAGGTAATATTAGCATGGATCTTGGTCTACCTCTTTACATAGTTAGACTGATGCAGCACTGTCTCCCCTTGGAATAGCAATACCTGGCCTTGAACTTGTGATCCTCCTGCTGAGGTGACAGGCATGTGCCACTGTGCCTAGATCCAGGTTTTTAGGGACATGCTCACTCTTAGGGGATGATACTACTGGGGCAGACTTGGTGTCCTTCAAGACGCCTAGGGGGCTTCTGGTCAAAGGCGGGCCTTCCCAGAAGCAGCAGTGGAAATGAGTCGTAATTGGTCTTGCAGGTGATGCTCATCTTCAGGGCGATGCTGTACGGGCTGTGGGAGAGGGGATGCAGGCTTCTGGATGTCTGGGGTTGGAGACTGGCTCCTCACCTCTCTGGGCCACGCCCACCCCCACCACACTCCCAGTTGCCATCAGGATTAAGTGAGAAAGTCACATCAAGGTAGCCAGGCCTGGCTGGTAGCCAATCACAGCCAGCCCCTCATCCTACCAAACCGAGTACTCTTACATTTGGAGTCTACCAAGTCTCCTTTCCTGGCTCTGCCTTGGAAGCCAGGGGCAACCAAGTCTTGTGTACTCTGGGCTCCAGAAGCAGTTGTCGTGGATGAGGGATGGATGGGCACATTATCCTGAGGCTTCCTAATCCCATTTTCTGCTTTCATGTTAATCCTCTTCCTCCTCTGTCTGCCATACACTCCACGCCCAGGGCACTGACCCGGAGAGCCAGGCCCACCTCCCCTGGTCAAGGGCAGTGCTTCCCATTGGGCGCTGCCTGAGAGGCGGGGGCAGTGTGGCTGTGCCCTGGTTGTTCTTCCAGCCAGGTCCTGGATGAACATTCGTTCAGTGCTCAGCTCACCAGGAACAAAAGTGACAGTGTCAGCAGTATTTTCCAAGCACTCACTGCTTGCTGATACTGAGAAGACCCTTACGTGCCTAACCTCACTCAGTTCCCATGACCCTTGTGTGTAGCAGATATTATCAATCTGAAATTTGCACATGAGGAAGCCGAGCAAAAAACATGGTGACATGGTGACCTGGTGAACAAAAAGTGGAAGTGTTCAGTGCGCTTGCCCAGCTCTGCCTGCCTCCAGAGCCTCACGCAGAAGCACTCGGCAACACTGCCTCTGTGTGTGGCACCCAGAAATGGAAAGTCCTCTCAGGAGACAGACGGCTCCCTGTCGATGGCCTTCCTAGGGGAGGCATGATTTTGTTTGAGGCCTTCCCACTTACTATTCCCTTTCTCCCTGAGCACTCCATTGCCTCTCCACTTCCAGATGCAAATGTTCTTCTCTCAACTCTGTAGAACCAAGCGGGTCATTCCCGCTGCCAGGAAGAGGTCCTGAAGCAAGGTGCACGCTCTGAGGGAGAAGATTTCTACCACCACCCCTTCGGCAGCCTGTGGGCAGATCTTTCTAGAAAAGACTATGCTGTATCGACATCCATTTTAGTTTGTCACAGTTAGGCGGCTCTAATTTAGATTCCTCTGGCTGTGATTCTGGCCCCCTGGGAGGCAGCACTGAACAGCACAGCTTGTGACTTAGGGCTCACTGAGAATGTCCCTTGGACTGCTTTCAGGTAGATAAAACTGGATAATTGTACCTCACTGAGACCAGAGGCCCTCTGCAGTCTTGATTTTCCTCTGCCCCTCTCCATTTTGCCCATGAGTTTGTCCTCTGGGCAGTTAGCCTGGACTTATCTTTAGCCTTCTCTTTCCCTGCCTACTGTGAGGATCCTGGGGCCTTTCTGTTGGTTGTGACTGGATCCGTCTATCTCCAGACTATGAGACTCCACCTCCATAAGGTCAGTTTATAACAGGATTCCTCCTCCCCTCAGAGTCCCTCAGGCTAGATGACAGTTGGACAATAACAAGGGAGGAGCAAAATCTAATTCCCAGTGCGGTGGAGTGAACTATGTGTGCTGCAGCGGTGAGTTCAGCTGGGGAGAAAGGCTTGTAGGACCCTGTGAGGTGAAGATGGAGGGTGGCTGAATCATGTGGTGTGAGGTTCCATGAAGGCTCCGACTCTGACCTCTGCCCAGTTTCCAGAAACAAGATGTAGGGTGTGTGACCTGGGATGGCAGTAGTGAGCAGTAACCTTGCAGGTCACAGTGGTGTGTGTGGTGGGGACTCCAGAGCCAATACCAGCTCCTCACAGAACCACAGGGACATCCTGCATCTGAGAAACATCACCGACCGTTATCTGCTCAGGAGGAAATGAGTTCTGAGGGAAAGTTTTGTTATTCCTTTTAAGCCCTCAAAGTTTTGTGCCCTTTGAGAACATTCAAAGTTGAATGTTGAATAGGAGAGAGCATGAGGGATTTTGTTTTTGTTTTTTGGTAGTGGGGATTGAACTCAGGTTCTTGCACTTGCAAGGAAGGTGGTGGAACCACTGAGCTAAATCCCTGGCATGAAGGATTTTAAGTAAGAAAATCTGCATTCATTGGTGGGGCTTTCTCTGGCCTGTGTCCTCGTTTTTTTTCCTTTTTAGTTTTTGCTTTGGGTGGCCATACACTCCTAGAACTTCCTTACTGAAATCCATAAAGCTGGGCTGGTCTTTTCCATAGCTGTTCCTTTCTCCTCACTCTCCACATACCTCTTACTTAGAGAAAGGCTCAGGAACTTATAGAGGGCAGTGGTGATTGGCAGCCCTGTGCAGAGGCAAAGGTGTCTGCTGGAGGTTTGTTGGGGTCTGCTGGTGTCTCTGTCCTGAACTATTTTTCCACCATTAATGGAGTTGGCTAATATCCCACAATGAGAACATCATTCCTTTGGCTTAGGGCTTTGCATATGAGAAGCTGGGATGTGTTACACTGAGAACCTCCATGGGGAAAAGGGAGTCTGAATATCTTGTTTGGGTCTTGATGTGGGGGGCCAAGGTGGGATGTGGGCACCACAGAAGTGGGACTGGAAGACACATTTTGGTGTTTGCCACTGGTATTTCACCCTGATCATTCCCCCTGAAGCATGTGTGTGTACACACATATGTGCACGTGCACACACACACACACACACACACACACAGACTTAGGGCCAGTATGTCACGGCCCAAGAAACTTAGTACACACATGTGCACGTGCACACACACACACACACACACACACACAGACTTAGGGCCAGTATGTCACGGCCCAAGAAACTTTGGCTTGAGAAGAGTTTTTGCCTTGAAAAGTCATTTTATTAGCTGATTGATTTTTTTTTTACAAAAATAAACAATTTAATGAACAAGAAGTATAAAAACTTCTGGATATGCAAACTCCAGGAAGGGGGGAAAGCCTGGTTTTGGCTGCTCTGCGGCTTTCACTGAAAGCAAATGAGGCAGAAAGGCCCTGGCCCCACCCCCACCCCAGGTCCTGGCTCAAACTGCAACCTGCTCCTCCCTCCTTCTCCTCCTCCTCCCAGTCTTGGCTCATTTGGACATGTGCACCCTGGCTCCTGACCCCCAGGATGGCCTGGAAGCCTCCTCTTGTCAGGGGGCCAGAGCCAGCCTCTCTGGGAGCAACCCCCACGCCAAGTCTCCTGAGTGGAGCTAAGCTGAGAGGACACTGTGTGACCGATTGTCCTCACTTGACCCCTGCCTGCTGAGTCGTGTGCAGCAGCAGTGGCAGGGCTTTGGCTACATTCTCACGCTATGAACACAGTGATGGGGCTGGCCACGGAGCGCTCCCGGTGCAGACCAGCCTGAGCCTGTCTTGCAGCCCCTCGACCATCGATTCCTGGCCTGACAGCCAGCAGTCTCAGACCTAGGCTGGTAAACTCACATTTTAACATTTTGCATTATTGCACGTTTGTTCTGGTCATGTCAGTCTGTCTGGGAAGTCAGCACTGTCTGCAGGCGCTCCCAGGTGACACGCAGTGCTGCTGGTGTAAATCACTCCTGCCGCAGGCAAGCCCAGCTGGCGAGGACGGTCGGTCAGCTGCTCAGCTGAGCCCTCAGACAGGTCAGCTGGGGGCCCTCACATAGGTGGTCTTGTTGGGATCAGGGACCACCTGGCTCCATCCAGTCTTGAAAAAGACCAGCTTCCGACCTGGGGTGGAAGTGAGAGAGAACAGGTCTGGATGCTTCTGTCCCTGGAGGTAGGGCCACTCTCCTAAAGCCACCCACTACCTGCCAACCCCTAGGGAAGTCCAGCCGCCTCCCTCAGGAATCCCTCTCCCTGAGCTCACCTGTCCAAGTGGTCTGGTTGGTGACCACAAAGGCAATGCACTGGGTATGGCTCTCACAGACGTCCACAGCCTCAGCCAGGTTGAACACAGACAGGAGGCAGCTGCCGTGGTGGTAGGAGGGCCAGCATCGGTAGTCTTCCTGTGGGATGGTGCTGTCTGGGATGCGCTGGTACTCTAGGGGTGGGAGTGAAGCGAATGTGACAGCTATGTGACCAGGCTGAGCCACTTGATGAGTGGGGCTGCACGACTCATTTTCTAGGGAAGGTGGATGCCCAGCACCTCTAGCATGGAGATGCAGGCAGCCACTGCTGTTCAAAAACTGGGTCACTCACTCACTCACTGAAGACCAAGCAGAGATGGGGCACGGGTGTGGGACGGACACACACATATACAGAGCCACCAGCTGTCTGGGGTGGCTGCTCAGGTCAGGGTGTTTTAGACGTGTAGAACGGGGCTTCTCAAACATAGGTGTGTGCAACCCCAGGGAATCTTGTTAAGAGGAAGATTCTGACTCCGAATGCTGGGTGGGCCCTGAGAATCTGCACTCCTAACCGGCTTCTGATCCCGAGTGTGCACAACATGTGGTCGCATGGGTTCAGAGCACCCCTCAGCCAAACTTTCCCTTGGCCTTGAGGGGAGAGGTTAGGTAAGCTCCTCAGACAGACCTGGGGGCAGGCAGGGAGGTCTGGGGTTAAGAGGCACAAAAATGAAGGAGAAATGCAAAGCATCCATGGCTGGAGTGTTTCAGGAGGGGACTGAATTCTCCCCGCGATTCAGACAGCACAGAGGCTTGGGACATGTCTCCCAATTAGGAGAAAGCTCAGTGGAAGGCCTCTCTTTCACCCGGTCTTTCCCACTGCCTGGGGAGCCCCAGTTTCGGACTGATAATGCACAAGCCTTGGGCCTCTGGCCACCCCGCCCTCCGGCCTCCTTCTCCTGCCAGGGACTAGACCAAAGTCCAGGGCTGGCTGTGATTTATGGCCCCATAAACGGCGTCCTCAGGGACAGAGCTAGCCATTGTTCACCTCGTTAAACTTTATTTACAGGGCTAACGAGGACTCCCCCACCCCTCAGACTGGCCAGGGCTCCCTGAACACAACAGGCTGCCCACTCCTTGTCCCCTGCCAACCACAGCTAAATCCAAGGGCTTCTGCAGAGGGGCCACCACCTGTAGCCAGTGGCTAAAATTCTCCTCTGCTTTGGCAGAGCCCACTCTGAGGCCGGTTTCGGCAGGGGGCGGCTTCTACCTCCAGCTGCCCTCCCAGCCCCAGGAGTGCAGAGGAAGGAAAGAGAAGCAAACATAGATTGTGTTCCAGCTGTGTAATAGGAAGTGCGCTAATTGCTTTTACACACCTCACCTGCCACTTAATCCCCATAAGAACTTTGTGAGGTTCCTAATATTGAGCCCAATCCACAGGTGAGAAAAGTGAGGCTCTAGAGGTAAGCCAGATGGCCATGGAGGGGTTGGAAGCCATCCAGAGGGTGTGTGTGGGGGGTCAGAGCCTACCCCACTTCAAGGTGGAATGATAGTTGCTCCAGCTGGGCCAGAGATGGGACCTCAAAGTGAAGGCTCAACAGTGTCTGCACTGCTCCAAGTGAGTCCTTAAGGCAGCCTCTGGACAGAAGGGTCCCCAGAGGGAAGCTGGGACACCCAGCTCAATTAGAGAGCTGCCTCCTGCTGTCCCCACCTCCTGGCTGCTCCCTGCTGGGGCCACTCACCGGCACTGCTGCTTGCTGTAGAGTTCTGCAGATACTGCCCGCTCCGGTACAGGTGCAGCACCATCTCCAGCTGGGCCAGGGTCTCATCTACACCCCAGGTGAGCTCTCCTGCAGAGTGTGGTGCAGCTATGACCCAGTCCTGGGCTCCGGCTCCTGCCTGAAGTAGATGCCAGCTGCCTCCCCTCCCTCTCTCCCTCCAGGACCTGTACCCAGATGCCTGGTGGCCAGGGGAGGGGCTTTGCTGCTTAATGCTGGCCTGGGAAATGATGATTTCTGGGTCCCATGCTGCACCGGGTCATTCCTGACCCCACTTCTGCTGGGGGATGACCAGGTAGGTGGGGGGACTGGAGGCTCACCTGAGGCATTGACGATACTGTCCAGCAGAGGCCGGAGTGAGGGCGGGGCACTGTGGGGCAGGAGGTATGTGAAGAAAAACCTGTGGCACACAGAAACCAGGGGCTTGGGGAGATAGTCTTTGGGGACATATCCTTCTCTGACTCCAACCTGGCTAAGGAGCCTGATCTCTCAGTCCCAGTGACCAGGCATAGCCCAGGGTGGACAGTCTTAGGGAATGAGTCTGGACCCAGCTGTGATTACAGCTAACTTCAGACCAAACCGAGACCTGAGGCCCACCTCTCCATTCTTCTTTGATGTCCACCCCAGGCACCCCCATGCTGACCCCCAAGATCAGAGCAGTCCCAGAATTGGGGTTTCTCAGCCATGAGGAGCTTCAGAGAGATCAAGGGCCAGGTGGGAAGAGGAAGAACTGGTCCCACCAGCCCGAGGCCCTGAGTCCAGCACTATTTTAAGAAGCCTCCAGCTGCCACTCTCCAACCCAGATTCTCCTCCGAGCTGTCTATTTTTAGCATAACCCTCAGAAGCCTGAACATTTCCCTCTTAACCGGGTGGGTAAGGAGCCTTTCCCTGCCTCTGGGGCTCCCTCACTGAACCCCGTACGAGCTCTCCCTGAACTGTGCTGCCTCCCTCGCTAGAGCTCCCGAGTGGGTAATGGAGGTCACCTGTAGGCATTGTAGAGGTTCCGCTTCTCATTCATGCCCTCACACCAGCCCTGGGCAGAACAGGGCAGGGTGAAGTTCCTCGCTGGAAATTCAAGTACACAGTCAGCGTGGCTTGTACATGGCGTCTCCTCCACTCGTGCATCATCCAGGTCCGTCACCTTCAGCTCCCCATCCACGAGCACAAACTGCCGAGGGCGGAAGTCCAGCAGAGTGACCGAGCCCAGCGGGGAGTGGGCCAGGTGGTGGAGGAGGCGGCCCAGGCTGAGGCAGATCTGAGGACAGACACAGGGCTCGGCAGACAGGCCAGAGACTCTTCAGGGGCTCCCTTTTGGGGCTGTGGATCTAGCTTAGGGATTGGCCTTTCTGTTCTCTAAGCCTCAGGGATCAACGAAGGCCTTAACGAGGATGCCAATGATTCTAATGACTGATCCATAGGCTGGCCTGCCCCTGCGAATAATATGGAGCGGGTGCGAAGCAACGGCAGGGGCACTGGAGGATAATGGATCTCTTCCCTGAAGCTGCGGCCTGTGGTTTCAGCTCAGTGCATGGGGACACAGGAAGGGTCGAGCTGACCTCAAGGTGACTTGTGGTCCAGGGCCCTCCTGCTGTGGCTCTGGGTGCAGGGAGTGGTGAGGACAGCAGGGCACAGGGTGCCAAGCTCCTCTAGGTCTGGCTTCTTTTTTTAACCCTTTGGCCAAGGGCCGAGGCAGCCTGTGCCCTGCCTCCCTCCCGCTCCCTGGGCTGAGGAGGAGTCCAAGCTGCTCTGGAAGGCTGGCCTTCTAAGGAGAACCATCCCATTCAGGAGCCCTCCTCCCTGCTCACTCGGAATCGATCCTCCCAGGAAGTCTGCAGCAGCTGGATCATTTCCACAGGGGCTCCCAGCTCCGTGATGGTGGTCAGTGTGTCCGGGATGTCGTCGCTGTCCTGGTAGCAGTAGCCAAAGAGCTGGGGGAAACCCAGGGCAGGTCGTTAGGTCACAGGGTCGGGGCAGGGACAGAGAAGGGCTCTGCCCCTGAGGCCTTTGCTTCAGTTGAGACCAGCAGAAAATAGGAAAAGAGCTGTGTTTCTTGGGAAGTCTGTCCTCTCTTCCCACAGCCAGAGTTCCACTGAGTGCATCAGCCCTTTACCTCTTGCCCCTCAGGGACATGGGCAGGTGTGGCCACCACGTGTTAAGCAGGTGCCAGGCACTATGCTGAACATACTACATGCAATATCCACTTCTTACAACAACCCTAGTGGGCACAGTGGGCACCACTATGATCTCTAATTTCAGGTGGGGAAAGTGATCCAGAGAGGTTAAGTCCCTTGTACAAGTTCACACCACTAAAAAGTACAGGAGCTAGGATTCAAATGCATGCCACTCCCGTTCTATGACCCAGCTCCTTCCAAGAACGCTGTTTGCTGACGCAAAGCCAGTGATTATCGTACTTCCTCCTGGTTTCAATGCCATTCTATCCCTCATCACTCCCACTTTTTCCTAGCTTCATTTTTGTTCTGTTTGGGTCTTGCAGGAGGAAAAGTAAAGAGGCACAACCCTGTCTCACACGGCAGTGGGGGGGTATAGTGAGGGACATTTCTCAGGGAAGATCCGTTTCTTGGGGTTATGGTCACAAGGAGCGTCCTACCTAATTTCATCCAGGGGAGGGGCTGCTTCAGGAAGAACAGCCCGATATTGTCACTAATACCTACACCGGTGTCCACGGGGAGCCCTGTCTCTCCCAACACACTCCATAGCAGCTCAAGCCTCTGAGTGGGCTCCAAACAATCAGCACCCTGTGGGGCAGGAACACAAAGGCGGAGTTGTCCAGTCCTAACTAGGGAGAGGGGAGAGCTATGCAGTGGAGGGGCGGCACTGGGGATACTGAGTCTTCAGGCAAGATGTCCCTCCTCATGGTCACCCCTCCTGCCATCATTCATGTGTTCCCAGGCCTGCTCTCCACCTCAGGAGTGCCTTTTCAGCTTTCTCTCCCTGAAGCCAGCTACTCCTGTCCTGCCACACGAGGAAAGGCACAACTCAGTGTTCGTCATCAGATCACTTAAATTGTTGGGGGGTTAGGAGACAGTTACAGACATCCTCTTTTTTTCTCTTTCTCAACTCTCCACCCCCATCAACCCAAGCAGGCCCCAGACCTGGATGGGGGGGAGGTAAGGGGAGCAGCCTGGAGCCTGGTTCTCATTTTCTTGCTCAGAGTCTGAGCCTTTGTGGGAAACTTCTGAAGGTTATTAAACACCCGGAGGTCGTTAAATGCACTGTTAACGAGGTATTAATCAACACCTCTCAGGAAAAAATAAAAAGACACCATCAACCCCCCCAGGAAGCCTGAGCTGAGAATTTTAGTCACATCTTTTGTTTGCCTGGGAGAAGAAATATACTCTAGCATGATCAGAATCTGGGCCTAAGTAGGCCTGAGGCCCATGAGGCCTGAAGCCCCGGACAACCAGGCTCGGGTGGGAGGAAGATCTGTGTGCCCTCTGACCCTGGGCTCTGGACGAATCGATCACGTGAGGGAGTGTCTGTGTGCGTTTGCCTATGCACAGGAGTACCTGAGGTGAGATGGGAAGGGGTCACAGAAGACAGAAAGATCTCCCCAGGCAGTCCCTTGTGACCACAGTAGGCCATGCCATCCCGGCAATTGCAGTTAAAGCCCACAGATTCAGCTCTGGGCTGCCCAGAGTAGGGAAAGGAGTCTCATGGCCCGGGAGACCAGGAACTCTAGGTTTTGAAATTTTGAATGATTAAAAGGTATTAAAACAACACAATTTCTAATTCCAGCCACACCCTCACTAAAGCGTCTGGAGGAGGGAAACTGCCACTGTAGGCTTCCCTGGCTGCAAAGGTGGCACAGGTGAAGTCAGAGGGATAGTGGTTTGGGGTGCAGGGGGTCAACTATGCCAAAGCAATCCCTAAGAAACATGGGGGGACCCCCACTTTTCCCTACGACTGTCAACTCTTGTGCCCTAAGTAGCTAACTCCATCCTGAGAATAACAGCCAATGTCAGACAGGCTCGTCTGGGTAGGGGAATGGGTGAAAACTATTCTGCTGTCATCCTTTTCCTGTGAAGCCTTCATCACTGGGGACCTGCATTACTGAGGAGGAATACTCTGTGGTATGTTCTGGGGTGCTAGCTGAATGACTGTCTGGAAGTTTGGTGAGATCAGAGAGAAAGTTCCTGAAGACATAGGAAGGTACATCAGAAGTCAAACCTGTCCTACTACAGAAGGTCTTGAGTCAGTGAACTAACACAATGTCCTGCTGTCATTCATGGCCTCTCCACCCCCTCAGAATCTGGATGACACCCAGGATTTCCAGAAAGTTCCCAAGAGTCCCTGGGAAGTGAAAAGCACAAGATCCTTCCATTTAGAATGGCCACATGACCAGCTGCTCCCTCCCTGAAACTCTGGATACAGTGTCAGCCGTGAGACAGATATAACCAAACACAAGTCAGCTCTGCCCAACCTCCTTGTGACCAGTGTGGAGCTTGGAGCAGGAATCCTGGGGACATGGGGAGCCAGCAGAAGTATATAACTTTCTGGTCTTATTCCGCATTGCCCACCCATCCCTCCAGGCCTAGGGACTCATCTCATTCCCAAGGAAAAGAGGGAGGGACTCAAGGGTTTCTGGTCAGTTCTGTGGAGCAGAGTAAGGTGAATCTATCTGAGTGGCCTGGGAGGTGGGAAGTGTGGACAGGATTCGTCACAGATGTCCGCACACACCCTGTGTTCATTCTCCTGGCCAAGAACAATCAGGGGTTCCCCTCTCTGTTCGCTCAGACATGTGCAAAGGGAACCATACGTCTCTTCCTAGGCAGACTCAAGGCTGGAGACCAGGGAGAGAGGAAATGGGGAGTAGGGCAGCAACAGTGGGACTGTGAGAGCCCAGCTTTAAGTACTGCTTGGAGAGGACAAGCTGGGTATCCCCCACCCACACACCAGTGAACGGGCGAGGCAGAATCTCAGTAGGAAACTGGGCGTCTGGCCTTCTCAACTTTCCAGTCTGTTGGCCAAATACACTCTCACAGTGACATTCAGATCCTTAGGTTCTCTGCCCTCTGGCCTAAGACGCTAAGGCCTCCCCCGTGGTTCAAGTGGACCCACTCTAAGGCCTGCGGAACTCCGGGGCGAGTTTTAAGAAAGCCTGGGTGTATGTTCTTGTCAACTTTCCTCCTCATTTCCTATGGCTTCTGGGTTCAGTGAGTACTTTCTGGGAATGAAGCCTGCCACCTGGTCCTCCCGGTCCTTCTCAACTCTAAATGGAAACTGAAAGAAGTGGGCTTCAGGTTCCCTCAAGAAGGGGAACCCTATCGCTGCAGCTGGGAGCTAACTCAGGTAGGAATGGTGTACAGTGTCTTAGATTGAGTTAATTATGGGTTGAGGTGTTCAGTACCTTAGTTCCTGCCCGGAATAAAGTCCTAAAATTCTAATCCACTGCCCAAGTCCTGGAGTTCTGGGACCCCCCCCCCCAATCTTGACCTCTGTCTTTAAAGAAAGTGTGTAAATTGAGAAACCCAGCTTGTGATTTAGCAGTGGTTCCACCGCCTCCCTCACAAGTGCAATGTCTCGAGTTCACAATGTCCCGAGTTCGATCCCCGGTACCAAAACAAACAAAACCCAAAACACAACAGAGAAACCCAGAGCCACTTACCCAGGAGGGAAGCAGAGTGGTGCAGTGGGAAGCATTTTAGTTTGGGTCTGAGCCTAAGCTAGGCAGCCACTGGAACCCCATCTCCTAGACCAAGCGGTTTCTTCCAGCTAGAGGGACACTCCCAGACAGAGTCCTCTCGGAACCCCACCCTCCTCATACCTGCAGCACGTTGGGGTGCCGCAGCCGCTCCAGCAGCACCATCTCCTTGAG